GAGTGCCCCGACCTGGTGGTCATGACGGCCGGCCTGTGGTACGCCAAGCCACCCGGGCACATGGGCGATCCGCTGCGGGAGCGGGTCATGAAGTTTCGGATGGAGTGGTTGGAGCTGATGCCCACCTTGCAGACATTGGCAGCTCACACCCAGATCGTGTACAAGCTGGACGGGCCGGAGTTTCTGGAGGGTAGAGGAAGAAGATCTAAGATTGGCCCTGTCATTTTGGCTTTAAATGCACTGGGTCTTGAATTTCTAAGTCAGGTGAGCTGACCAAAACGGCGGTATGAATGCTTTAGACGCGTTGTGAGTGTACATATACCCGTTTCATTCAGCGAGCAATGCAAACACCAAGCGGCGCGCTTAAACATCAGTTCTCATCACAAAATGCCGTTGGTGTAGTATCTAGTCTCAATATCCATACACGCCATTTCGCTCACTTGGTCGCCATGGCCGGGTCGAAACCCGTCGTGCTTACAGGTCACCGTGCCGGCTGACGGCTCGTTTACAGGTGCGGGGCGTTCGGCCGTGGACGTCCTCGCTGGCCGACACGCTGCGCGTGCAGCACTCGGTGTGCCTGCCGCTGGCCGCCAACCACACCGCGATGCCGGCGCCACTGAAGATGGAGTGCCTGGACGAGAACCATGCGGGGCCGACGGTGCGGGCGGCGGCTGTCGGCACGCTGATGAACTTCGTCTGTGGCAGCACCTACCCGCGGCCGCCTGCCCACTGTTGCTCCTCGGCACCCCGCGCATGACCGTTTGGTTGTCTAGTTGTTTGGTTGGTGGCTTGGTGGTTTGGTTGTTTGGTTGTTTGGTTGTTTGGATCAGAACCCTTTCGACCAGAAATGACCGCTTCAGGGCGATGGGGTGAAGGAGAATGGATTATGGCGAGGCAGAACTACATGCGCCTGAGGTCAACCGCTGAGCCTTAGCCGCGCGGGGACCCCTCTGCGGGGTGTGCGCTGGGCGCCCGGTCGGGGTCCCCATCCAGGGGGCGTCTCGGCGCATTCGTGACTGACACATGCAGCCTGTGCCGGACACGTGAGGCGTCGCGAGGATTTAGGATGAAAATACGAAGGAGGATAAGAGGGTCGAATGTGCCCGACGGCTCGCGGCGGCGCGGCGTCCGTGTCAGCTGAGGTCAACGCTGACGTGACGGGAAGTGGCGCCTTGGGCAAACATCGGGGGGTGTGGGGGGGGGGAGGGGCTCTGCCCTTGTCATGGTCTCATAGCCTGGTCCGGCTATCTGTGTTGCGTTGATAAAGTTGTTGATTCATGTAGACGTGCGGCCAGAGTTGTCCTGCTCAGACGATAACCGGGCAGGGCGAGGCAATCGCAGTGGCGTTTCACGTTAGCGTGGAGGGCCCCGGCACGTAGAGGGATGTGCGCGCGCATGGCCGGCACTTGCGCTGTGAATTTCAGGTGTAATAAGCCTTGAGGATGCTATGCAATATACAGTCTTCTTATATATATATATATATATATATATATATATATATATATATATATATATATATATATATATTATGCATATTATTATTCTTATATATAATCTTCTAGCAGCGCTACTTTATTCCATTACGTTCTGTTAATCCTGCGAGCCACGTCTCCTGCGTCGCCCTTGGCCGTGTGCCCTGGAGGACCACCAGCCGTGCTCAGCCCACTACCATATCCCCCGAGTCATCCGTGGCCGTGTGTTCTGGAGCACCACCAGTCATGCTCAGCCCGCTGCCATATCCCCCGAGTCATCCGTGGTCGTGTGCTCTGGAGCATCACCGGCCGTGCTTGGAGGCCGGTCACCTAAAATCACGACGTCACATGACGCAGGGCGGACTGCGCACTAGCATTGCGGCACGCTACAGTCATTCAGCCATTCTGCTTACCAAGTTTGTAAAAAGAAGTAAAACGCTCCGGGGGGAATTCATATAAGCAGCATGCGTTCCAACGCGGAATGAGCAACAAAGCCGCGGACCCGCCGAACTCCATCGTGATAGCAGCCCTTGCAACTGTCGGGCGGGTATCCAACACCTGAAACAGTGCGGGAGGCGAGAAACGTGATCCACCGGTAGCGAGTAGGGACGAGGCTGGTGATCCACCGGTAGCGAGTAGGGACGAGGCTGGTGATCCACCGGTAGCGAGTAGGGACGAGGCTGATGATCCACCGGTGGTGAGTAGGGACGAGGCTGGTGATCCACCACTAGCGAGTAGGGACGAGGCTGATGATCCACCGGTAGCGAGTAGGGACGAGGCTGGTGATCCACCGGTAGCGAGTAGGGACGAGGCTGGTGATCCACGGGTAGCGAGTAGGGACGAGGCTGGTGATCCACCGGTAGCAAGTAGGGACGAGGCTTATTGCCGTCAGGACGTTGATCAGGGCGAGGTCGGCGGTAGCTCGCGCCCAGCACCACACATCAGGTGCCGTCTCATGCTTCGGCACGCAGTCGGCGGTCAGCTGCTCGGGTCCGCTGGTCACCGGTGTGTCGCCGCTGCCGTCCGGCCGGCTCGCGTGGTGCGGCGTCTCCACTACGGTCAGCAGCAGCGGGCTGATGTGGCCGACCGGCAGCGTGGGCATGGCACCACCACAAGCAGCTCGCCCCGCTCCACCAGCAGCCTGGGGAGATAAGGCGGACAGTGTCATCACTTACGCCTCCAGACTTCAGCGGCGAGGCAGGATGGACGCGGTCACCAGCGATGTCCCTTCAGATGGGATCAGGACGAACAACGACGGTGGCTCCCGTCCGGCCACATCCGTCAGCCGAAGGGCCGGAAACGCGCGAAAGAATGCTGAGAGGAATGCCGCTGGACGACAACACCATACCAACGCTGCCGCATGCTACACGGTAATCGCACGCATCTCGCAAACTGCCCCTTTCCAGTGAACTGGTAAAAGGCAGCCCCAACACAAATTCCAGGACATGCATTCCAGAGCGCATTGAGGCCTGGCTTCGTACACAGGCATGAACGATTTTTGCACGTGGTCATCTCCTCTCAGTAACTTTAATATCGAATTATGCACCCGTGATTTCGTCTAGGTGTCAGCGGAGGGGGGTTACTTTCAAGGCTAGAGCTACAAAGATCAAGCGTTTTTCCTCCCTGAAAAGAGAAGGCATGTGTCATCCTGCCTGACCCTTGAATCAGGTCAGATGTACCTCTATTGACTTCCATTTAATGCTGAGCAATGTGTGCAAGTTGATTATGATTATTGGACGACACCGTACCAACACCATATAGTTTAATATGATTATTATATGATTTTGATCAAGGGATCATGTTCTGTGCTGCATAACATGAAAAGTTGGATAGGATTGATAATTACTGAGGAAATGGGGCTTGTAATCGAATAATTGAACACACGCTCGGTTGGATGGTCAATTTGACTGCCCGAAAGCTTTTGCGCAGCGATTTCCGAACGGCCTGCACAGCCTCGCCAATTGCTTTTGGCTGTAGACAATTCAATGGCAAATCATTTGACATAAAAAATTCAGATGTGCTTCGTAAGGTCACTGACCTACGACAGGTCAAAGTCAGACCACGGATTCAACGAAGACAATTTGTTGGGAATCACTCAATATGGTGCAACAGCGGAGTATTGGACGAGGCCATGCGTCTCTGAGATAGCTTCTTGTGCAACACAACAGTTGAATGCACAAATAACATTGACCTGGGGTCACATACGAAGGCGAGACCAAGGCCAAAACCAATATGTTTTATTACTCTAGAGCTGGCTGTTTGGGGTAAATTCTAGTGTTGATTTTGAATTTATTGATGACAGGAACCGCATTACATCTCGTTTATGGGCAGCGTAAAGATCACAATAGGCCACTGAACTAAAATGACGCAGACCAACATTCCGTTTTTTTAAAAACATGCTGCCTGGCGTAATCTTTGACGGTTATTTAAGTGCAAAAATCAGAGCAGTATTATAGGCTTTCGGTCAAGATGACCTTAAAAAGGTCAGGCAAGGTCACTGACCTCAAGTGAATACCTGTGACCTTTTGCTCAGATCAGATATCTGGGTTTACGGTGGTCACATGAGATGGTCTGAAAGCATTTTGGACAGCAACCTAGAATTCGACTATGTTTTACCTTATTTGACCAGAATGCCAGCGCATTAGTAAGAAGGGGAGCGGTGGTAGTGAACGTCCGGCAGGCCACCATCACATTATTGGCGATAACTATTAGCTTGATGTTTTGACTTAAGTGGGCTTACGTACGGGGCAACACACGCTATGTCTGAGTGTTTCTATGTCGATTTTGTTTTGTTTTTGGATTAGAGCCTTTCAACCAGAAAATCTTGTCAGGGTTATGGGATGAAGGAAAGTGGCTCGCGGTGGGGCAGATTTGCATGCGCCTGAGGGGCCAACCGCCGAGTTTTAACCCGCGCATGCGCGCTGGGTACCCGGCCGGGCTCCCCTTCCCACAGAGATCTCGGCACACTCGCGGCTGACGCACGCGGCCCGCCCAGGACAAGCGGGGCGTCGCGAGGATGCAAGATGAAGCGAGATGAAGAGGATAAGGAGGACGGATGATTTCTGTCTCCCCCAAGTTCCTGAAATCTCAGCTCGTCCAGTTGGCCCCCACCCGAGCGACGAGTATTTCAACCGGCCACCTCGGCATATGTTAAGAACTGCACCACAACTGAGTATGTAAATGCAATTTTTCTTCGTAAACTCACGGAAATTCTTGCAAGAACAACACGAGAAACGGCAAAGACGCGAACACAAAATTTGGCTCGGAATACCTCCTGCGTCGTCACTGCCATCTTTCGGCGAATTGAAGTACTACAGGAAAGCGCTAGAGTGACAAGCTCGCACGGCTGGACTGGCAGCACCTTATCGTCGTACGAACGTTCCATGACGCAATCAAGCAATGACTTATTGAGAAGCATGTGCGAGTGCCGAGTATAGCGCGCGAGAAGTAGTATCTAGACCGAGCGGTAGATGGCAGAGCGTCTCGCGGAGCACGGAAATACAGTAGTTCTGACCGCCGACTCGTGCGCACCTTCGCGGAGACAGAATCGAATAAAGCATATTTACTAAATTGAGAGCTTTTTTCTGCGTAGAGCAGTCGCTTTTACTTACAAGGGTATCAATCACTACAAGTGAACTGATTTCATCATTTCTGATACTTGCTTCAATATCTTCAAAGGTGGACCATTCCCTTAAAGTCAGCACTGGCGAAAGGAGGGGGGGGGGGGGGGGGGGGCTCAGGCACTCCGAAAACAAAGTTACAACCCTGGATGGACGTCCTCGCTTGTGTCGGCATTTCTTCGTTTTTTATCTGATTTTGATTTGTCCTATATAGCACTAAGAAAATCTCTCACCTTTTTGCCGAGCAAGGGCCCAGTGGGTAGAACACTAAGGGCACATTATGTTTACCAGCCGGCAGCTGAAGGGTCGTTCCATCCCAGCCCGGGATGCTTGCCGGCTGCATTTCTGGTGTTGCACGGCATGCGTGCATGTACATTGGTCGCCTCCCTGACGCCGCAAGCCCCCTGACCCGGGAATTTGGACCCTGGCCGACCTAAGGGTCCTCATTGACGTAAAAGAGATCCCTTATTTGCGCATACGATGTGCTAAACAAACGTCTAAATGCTTCCCAGAAAAGAGCATTTGTTGTATTGTTGCTCGATGACGGAGGTGTGTGTCAAGTGGAGGAAAGTAAGCAGCAGATCATTCGTAGAAAGGCTTTAGGTCGATTTCACACTTTTCTACCCGATGCGTTGTCCCTTTAGAAAGTAAATGCTCCAATAACACTACTTCATGCCGTTGCATGCATGTTTTAAATGGACGCCAATATCTCCTGATACACTGGTCTGACCTTAAGCAGAGCGAGGTAGGAGACATTCTTGAGGTTGGTAGTTTCGCTCCATTTCGACCTGATTTCATCGTCATGTTTCGTTTCCACCGCCCTGGCGATGCTGTCGGTGGACCATCACCTCTCTGGTTACCCCTTACGGCGTCCTGACCTGGCGGTGGGCACCGGCCAGAGGCGTCTCGGGCCCAGCCTAGTACCAGAGTCGGGGGCGACTCTCGGTCCCATAACTCCCTGCCTGAATCATCGTCTCAGTTTTCTATTGACTGACCGAGGTCCGTCGACACCAACGTGTACTCAGCGCATGGTGTCCAAGCGGCGAGTTTTGTCTGACCCCCTTCCCCCCCCCCCCCCCCCCTGATGAGACCGACTGACCGGCGAGAAGGTTTCAAGGTTTCTACGCCGTACGCATCACCCGCCCCTGCATTTTATGTATGTAGTTATCGTACCAAACACCGTCCACAAGCTTAAAACAAGATCGCGCGGTGTCACACAATGGCAAGGGGAGAGCGCAATCTAGGATAACCTTGTTCTAGGGAGCGTACAAAACATCAGACGTCGCATGTAAATGCGCATCGATCATTCGAGGGGCATTCCCGACCTGCTGCTGGCTCCCATCAGTGACGCCAGGGCGTGGGAAAACGGCAAAGGCGCGTTGGTGTCAGTAGGGATACACATTATGCTACGTAAAAGCTGCCGATTATATGAAATGGCCTCAAAAGGTTAACGTTGCCAAGGACCAATGAAAAACAAATCGGCCAATTGTTTGCAGGTACAATCACAACGAGAAGCATACAAATAAAATAGGCATAAAAACAATGCCGCACGCCCTACCCTACGAATTCACTGCATGCATCCATACTCTGTGCTACGCTGTGCACACCTGCACTACGCATGGGTGGATGCAAAGGTTATCAGGATAAGTAGTAGCATAACGTATGAGGTCACGTAGCGTTTTCAGTTTCATAATGTCAGCGAGAAACAGATGCTAAACAATGAATCACTTTTATGCAAGAAATTCACGCGTGTGCTATCCGGACGCCTATTGAAAGCACCGTGCCTCGCAGCGTGCACGCAAGTAGGCGCACCCCGAGAAACACAAGCGTGATCACGTGTCATAATGCAAACTTTCGAGAAGAAAATGAAGATGGCTGCCCAAATTCGGACTGATGCTCGATGCGTTCTGCTTGTCATGAATTGCCTGTCGTCTGATCATGTCGTATCGCAAGCGGCGAACAATTTAGTGCACGCGGAGACGAATAATGAATTACAGACGGCGCCACTAAAGAAATACAAAACCATACAACTCAGCGTACGCGGCATGACTGTGCGATCGCATCATACAGCGCATACATTTGTACACAGAAATAACTTGAAAAGAACGCATGGAATCATTCGAACGTCATTTGATTAGCATTTAGTGTAAAGGGCCCTTGATTCGCGGTTTCCACAGCGGAGAGGTGTCCGTCGTCGGATAGACGAACACGTCGAGAATGGACACACCAGTCCTTGCCCATACGGCCTCGCGCGCTGCCAATACGGTTAGCGCTGTGGCAGGCGGGCCCTCTCCCCGCACCCCGATCATCTGCCGCCGCCGCCGACCTACAACAGGCAGTAGAGACCCTGGGCATGCAGCATGTTGATGACCATGGACCAGACGATGCCGATCCAGCTGAACTCGGCCACCCAGTAGCCGACTAGCGTGACGGTCAGCATCTGCTGCGTCGGGTAGTTGTGGTTGTAGTTGGAGTCGCGCGAGCCGAGGCCGTCGGAGCACTTGCGGTACTGGTACTTGTCCAGGTTGGCGTTGTTGCCCAGGATCGCGAGGCACGTGCGCGTGTAGCCGTCCGTCAGCATGCACACGATGACCAGGTGGTAGGCGCCGAGCAGGAGGGCGGCCGTGGTGAAGACGCGCCACCAGCGGCTGGAGGCGGGCGTGTCCCGCCCACGCAGGATGTAGTACAGCGTGAGCAGCAGCACGGCACCCAGCACCGGCAGGATCGTGCCGTACGCCACGAACGAGCACGTGCCGATGCTGCTGCCCCACGTGTCGCCGATGTCCTGGTACTGTGTCAGCGAGGCGTACAGCATGCATTGGCCCTCCGTGCCTTGGCTGTTGGCCCAGTCTGGAACAGGGACGGGCGTCAACTGAGCGGGAGCCTGCACGGCTGAGCTGGCGCGGCGTGGTGCTCTGCTCGTGTTTGCGTGACGTCACTGGGTGTGATACTGACCATCAAGGGTATGCTGAGAGATATTCTTAAGAGAGTAGGGGTATCGCTGCAGGAAGACCCATACCCATACACGCGCACGCATACGCAAGGACGATTTCTGTCACATGATGTCTACAAAGCAGAAGTCCAGCAGCAAGCACCACACGGTCATCACACCCACGAGCCTCAACGCCACGTTCGAGAGTCCACGGTCGCCCCACCTTTGGTTGTCATGGCCATGGGGATCATGCCCATGAGGGTGAAGATGATGACCAGGAAGAGCATCAGTGGTGCCACGAACGATGAAAGCGACTCGCCCTCATCCTGGTTCTCGGACCAGCCGCCAGTGGTCGGCCGGTACGCCGCCTTATACGACGACATCTGCCGGTCAGGGCGCTCGGCATCAAGCGAGCCCAGCTCCATCTGGCGCTGAACATCAAACCCACCTAGCTCCATCTGGCGCTGGGAACCAGACCAGTTCAACTCCATCTGGTGCTGGAAATCAGACCTGCCCAGCTCCATCTGGCGCTGAGCGTCAGGCGAGCTCAGCTCCATCTGGCGCTGAGCATCAGGCGAGCCCTGCTCCATCTGGCGCTGAGCACCTGGCGAGCCCAGCTCTATCTGGCGCTCGGCATCAGGCGAGCTCAGCTCCATCTGGCGCTGAGCATCAGGCGAGCTCAGCTCCATCTGGCGCTGAGCATCAGGCAAGCCCAGCTCCATCTGGCGCTGAGCGTCAGGCGAGCTCAGCTCCATCTGGCGCTGAGCACCTGGCGAGCCCAGCTCCATCTGGCGCTCGGCATCAAGCGAGCCCAGCTCCATCTGGCGCTGAGCATCAGGCGAGCTCAGCTCCATCTGGCGCTGAGCATCAGGCGAGCTCAGCTCCATCTGGCGCTGAGCATCAGGCAAGCCCAGCTCTATCTGGCGCTGAGCATCAGGCGAGCCCTGCTCCATCTGGCGCTGGGAATCGGATGAATATAGCTCCATCTGACACTCATCATCAGACGAGCCCAACTCCATCTGACACTCATCATCAGTCGAGCCCAGGTCCATCTGACACTCATCATCAGTCGAGCCCAGGTCCATCTGACACTCATCACCAGATGAGCCCTGGTCCATCTGACACTCGTCACCAGATGAGCCCAGCTCCATCTGGCGCTCATCATCAGAGGAGCTCAGCTCCATCTGGCGCTTGGCTCCAGACAACAACAGCTCCATCTGGCACTTGCTTCCAGACAACGCCAGCTTCATGTGACGCTCGACATCAGGCGACTCCACGATCGCCGACCCGGCAGGCGCTCAGCCAGGCCAGCGGTAGTGTAGCCTACGCCGCGGCTCTGCTGCTGTGGTGTCGCCATGATAGCGCGATCACGTGGCATGATATGACAACGCGACTGATGACGCATGGATCTGTGCGCTAAAATTAGATATGGATGGGGTGCTCTGCGTGCTCCATCTCCCTGGACAGGGACAGGATCCAGATGAGGTGTAGCTTTGCATTGGTGCACCTGTACAACCGACCTGCAGATTATACCTTACCTACCTTACCATGCCGCATGTTATATATGCGCATATACACATGTATGTATATACATATATATATATATATATATACAAATATACATATATACGTATATATATACATATATATATATATGTATATATATATGTATATATATATATCCACATATGTATATACATATGATTATATCATACTATATGTATTGTCATTTGACAATATATGATGCCTTACCGTCACTGGCTTGAATTTCCCATATCTTCGCCCAAAGAAAGGTTTGGACATCGCTATGAACCGGTTACCCCTGAGGACGTCATGAGTTACCCTGCGTTCCTCCGCTGAGCGCCACGCTGCACTGAATATGTTTAAGATATCGCGGTGCAACGACGCCACCTCGCCCGCCCTGCTTGCCTGGCACCCTGTTTTTGTGGTGGTCGTGTGGTGCGACCTTGTTACTTGGTATCATCTGCACAAAGTCTTCTGTGTCGGAAGATACATTGGCTCTGGGCAGAAGAGCCCGTGTCGCATGAGGTCTTTGAAAACGGCTTGTGGGCAAATCACGAACCCTGTGACCGAGGCGATCCTCCCAGTGGCCAGTAAGAAATCGCGCGATTGCGAAATACACAGTATGGAACACAACTGGGTATTGCACGGCTGTTATCCGCCGTTCACGACAGTTGTTTTCTGCCGCCGGTAACGATCCGCCTGCCATACTAAAACGTTATTGCGTTAAAACTCTGGTTTGCGCTCGGATAATGTGAGCGATAGGGGAAACGGGTCCACATTCCAACTATGTGTTCTCATCTTTTTCTGGAGGGCACACAGGCGACAGTGCTGAAAGTCGATGGGGCGGAAGCAGATATATCTTCCACGTATCATTGAGAACGGCGCTCGCTGGCCATTTCCCAGCCACTCCCCTACGCGTACTCGGACACGACCCTCACTGTCGTTGGTCTGGTCCCACCCCTCGCGTCGCGTTCGGCGCCCGTCCCCAGGCCTACCTTCCTGTCCGGCCGGAAGTGTGCTGGGCAGTTACTCCCGGTAGCCGATCGGCTTCCGTTCCCCTTGTCCTCGCTGGTGCGCCGGCCCTCCGTTCCCACACCTCGATGCCTGTCGCGCTGGCTTCACGTTCGGCCCGGAATGCCTGAAGGTGACCAACCGACTCATGTTGCGCACCCCCCGATAACGCTATACCAGGGGCGGACGAAGCTTGCTTCCCAGAAGCGTCGCGGGGAAGTAGCTGAACTTTCACGTCCTTCAACGAGCGGCATCCAGGCATTCCCGAGTGGCAATGCTTTTGAGCACACTTCATTTGCTGTTGACGGCAAGTCATCAAACGCCATGTGAACACCCAGCACTGCCGTCTCCCTCCGCCTCTGGCTATCGGCAATGCGGCGGCGATAAGACCTTTGTGATTACACCTATCCCTGCGCAGCCGTTGCGCTTATCTGCGACACAGCCTCACAGATACTCAGCGGAGCGTTACTCACATGCAACAAGGAACCGATCGTTGCCTTTGGACCCCGTGGGCATATGCGTGATGTTCTCATCAGGTGCGGGCGTTTTGTACCGCGCCGGTGTTCATGAAAGCCACAGCTCCGCTGATTGTCCTGATTTATCGCGGGCTCTGGCGTGCTTAGCAATCAGTTTGCGACAGAGTTATCAACGGCATCTCGGCCGCGCTGTTGTCTGAAAGTTCTTTGTTGTCTTTGTATTGGCACCGTGCTACGTAACATTACTGCGCGCGGTGCTAAAATCTATAATTAGTCAGGTTATAGTACCGTTATACTGCAAATGCGTGAGCTACAGTCTAACTGCGAGTACAAACTTCACAACGTCGGTAATGTTGAGGTCATCCACCTCTCCTGCAAGCGAAGTCACGCGTCTATGCGACGTCGGAAAAACGGTGTTCTGTTAGGATCAAGAACACTGCACTCGACCCAAACACGAGCAACAGTGGGTGGGTGATGACGTGCGTTACAAGCCGATGGTTCCACTTGTCCCTTCATGTGGAAGCAGATGAGCCAGATCCAGGTGAATGCGAGGGTGAGGTGGCATGACGTCGTTATGGTGACATTTTTTAACGAACGAAGTTGGAGAAGCATCTTCGGGACAAATCGTCGGTCTGCCAAAAAAGAAGACTCGCAACGTATGCCGCGAAAATACAAAGGATAAAGACAGACCGCCTACCAAGGCATTATGCAAAGTGGTGAGGACATGGTCAAGAACTTTTGCTTACATTACGTGACGTTCCTTTGAGTGTTTTCAACCACTCGTAGTGTAAAATAACCATGTGATCCCACCTGTAGCATATGGTGCTGACCTCACACATGCCCTGATAAGTTGAGGAGCGCTTCTGCGCGATGGAAGCTCCTTTCTATTCGACCAGGGCTCACTCGCATGTATTACACGTTCGCTGGGCCGCGTAATCTTAAGGGAAGTGTTCCACATTTATATGGGGCTTTGAACTGAAGCAGCCATCTTGAAGACCTTTCGGTGCTGTTTGCAATCCTGTCCTTCTTAAGACATAAGCCCCTCATTTTTTTTGAGCTAAACAACCATTAAAATGTCGAAAGGTGTATCGAGGGGAATATTTCAGTCACCTTGGCATACATGACGTCGTAACAGCGCCTTTTAAATCCTGCCATTCCATAAGCCGTCCGACGATCAAGACCAAGAAAAATGTCATTATTGAGGCATTCATATCTGGCGCTCACGAGCGCCATTTTCAAATATAACGGCAGTCAATAGCTCTTAATCAATGCTGTGCAAGGTACGATGACGTAATCAAACCGTGACGCATTGAGGAGCATATTTACTAAACAGATCATCGTGACGCCTAGAGTAGTCTTTCCATTAAAAAAAATGTACCAATAGTTATAAGTGAGCTTGTTTCATCATACCTGATGCTTACTTCAATTTCTACAAATGTGAAACATTCCCTTTAAACAAAACAAACTTATAACGCATATCTAAATATCCGCATTCATTTTACGCCATTGTAGGTTCTAAAAAGTGTGAATATCTTGATTATTTGTAATACAATATTACAAACTGTTAGGTGCCCATATGAGAAGCGCTTAGGCAGTCGTAGAAGAAGTGTCCTTACGTACTTGTGTGGCCGTGGCCAAAAGCTAGGCACTGTGTGTCGGGCTTCACACCCTCTATTTTAATACGTGGTCCTAATAATGTTATGTATTATTATATATAATAATATTTATTAGTAATAATAATAAATTTCATACTTAACACCCCTAAATAAATACGTGGTAATATCCTTCGTGGCTCTATGACAATGCTTGTACACTCACCTCGCGTTTGCGCAACGCCAGAACTATGGAGCGAGGAGGGCCACTGTGCGAGCCGCTGCCAATGCCGCAGTCAATGACCGTTGTCACCCTTGTCATACGCCCGCGCTGATTATTGCGGGTGACTTCAAATCCTACGTCACTGGGTGCTGGGCTGCTGCGGGATGCTCTGGCGGCATCCCTTAATATTCCCTGGGACTCCGGCGTCTATTTCTTTAGTTTTGTGGGGGAGGGGAAGACCTGGACGCGCCTGGAGCCCCTCTTGGTTGTCGTAAGCCATTCGGCCGTGAAGATATATGATGCATACGCGCCCGGCGGACTACGTGCTTTGCAACCAACTTGGGATCTCAGGAGGCGGCAGGTCCAACCAGTGGAGGTCATCTCGCGAAATCACTTCATGGAGATAGGGAGCATCCGGGGATGTGCAGATTTTCGAACCGGCGGAAGATTTTTTAAAAATCACCAAAGAATCAATTTTTGCGGTCCCGTGGGGCGCGAAGTTTCTCGCATAGCGAATCAAAGTTCCACAATTTGCAGTTTGCTTATTATGACGTGTTAGCGACGATTTTTCAAGTTTTCTTCTTCTTATGCATATACAAATTTGGTAATGGGAGGAGCACAAACACGGGATTACCCCTCGTATATGTCCATAGGACACGGTTTCTTTTTTAAGGTCAGCTGCAAACTGGAAGGCCTGCCCGTTCCAACTGAATTTGGTCCTGGGCCAGGGCTCGGCTTGTCGATGTTTCGAGAGGAGCTTGTCAAATTCGTCAAAGCTTGGGTCTCATGGTGCTCCCGGTTGTCTCATCACAGGTGTAGTCTTCCTGCTCGCTCTGATTATATCTGCACCTACATTTCTCCAGCCCCACGGTTCTGGCCGCAATCCACGGCTGTTCGGCTGTGGGGGAGAGGGGGGAGGGGGGGGGGGGTACCGCAGTGCCGTCCCGGGCGCCTGATTCGCCGTCGGGCCGCTCCTTATCAGCCCGCCGGGCGCTACGATAACGCTTGTTTGCCCAACCAGGCGGTGCATGAGGCTGGCGTGGAATGTTAGCTGCCGGTACCGTCGGACGGTGCTGCCATCTATCGAAGATTAAAACTACTATGACGGTGTGTAGATAGATAGAGATCGCAGGTTTTGGCATGGGGTTCGAAGAGATCGTGGCGAATGATTTGCGTGACAAGGATGATATCTGATTCTGTTTTCTAGTCGCCAGCTCCTCGGTGCGGATCTCATGCGTCTCATTATAAATCTCATTATATCTCTCTCGATCTCATTATAAACGACGTTTCCGCGCGACATGTCCGACGTGTCATGCCAAGGGCACGCGCGAGCTCAGTGGACTCACCCGGAGTACCAACATCCGGCCGCCGGCCGGCGGGGAAAGAGAAGACTCAACCTTATGGACTCCAGTTTCACGCTAGCGAGGTCACGGGCCCATGTGCTGTCTTCCATGGTCGCAAGTACGAAACATGTACATATTCAGGACCGCTGGTCTGAATGAGATTACCTGCATGCTGGACAGCGCACCGAGCAAGGCTAAAGGCTACATTTTTCTGCCACCTTACATCGATGCCACCTCCAAGGGATACAATTTTCACCTTCGCCGGCTCTGAACAGTCAAGCCAGCCGCCACGCTTCGAAGAAACCACCACTTTGTAGCTATAGATAGCGGCTTCATGTAAGCGCTTTGCAACAACAAAAAGCAGCTATGCACACTCTGGTAGGGCGTTTGCATGACATCTCATGCGCTGCTATTGTTGGAATTTCGCTCACCGACTGGCACCGATTTTTGCCAGGACCATCATGCCACACTTAACTCCCAAATGTGAATCGACCATTGCACTGAAATCCTTGGTTGCGGATAACCACTGATGTGGTATGCTTTCATTATATTCTTTTGCTCGATTCCTTCGACAGGTTGGCAGGAATATGAGATACGTTTAGATGAGGCACACAGAACATGAGGCACGATCTTGACCCGAATCCACGGATTCCTTGCTGAACGACAACCTATGGATCACTTCACTCCACGGCTAGCTTCAGCATTTCTTAACAGAGAGCCATCAACATCAACATCAACATCAACAGAGTTACCAGAGGAGCCCCCTTGCCCCCCCCCCCCCCCAGGGAAACATGCCGAGACAGGGAAGCGCTGACAAATTTCAGCTGTGGTCAAACCAACTACGGCTGCCGCTCAGTCAAACGGGATACGAAGCTGTGCGTCGGGAAAGAGACATGATACTTGGATTTATGCAGGAAGTAACGATGGACGGAGTCGTTTTGGAATACTACGATCAGTAAAATGATGGATGGAGAAAGTCGATTGGAAAACAGTTAAATGCAATCGATTCGAACAGCAAATAGTCAACAGGGATGAAATTTGTTTACTTGTTTATTTAGGACATAAGCATTCCGCAGGCAGAAGCCCAATTACGGAAGCAGTCCAGTTTTAAGAACAGTAAACACACGATACACACACAAACAAAAAACCTAACCAAACACACACACACACACACACACACACACACACACACACACATTACATACAGTCGCGCACCAAGTCATCAAGAAAATGTTCTACGTGTGCCGGCGAACCTAAACAAATCAGATCGGAATTATTTTATTGGATGAAAAAGTCAGCTGAAAGAAACTGCTGCAAAAATTGATTGCAGACAGCGGGTAGTCGTGTGACAAATTCATTTTTAACGGTGTTGACCCTTGCAAATGGCTGGTGGAAAAGGCCGATATGCCGAGAACGCCGGACGGGTGTAGCCAGACTGAATGCTGAATAGTGATGTCAGGTGAGCGCAGTCAAGCCTGTGAT